CCGGCACCGCGGGAGAAGGCGATCCGGGGCCTGCAGGCATCATCCTCCCCCCTCACCTTCTGCGAGGAGAAGGACTGCGTCCAGTGGTACAGCACCAGCGGCGCCATCCCCGGCACGGCGCGATGCGCTGCGCCGGGCGGGGCGGCGGCGACCGTGTCCGCCCCCGCGTCGGCCTGCTCTTGGAAATTAAAAAGAGGAGATGTCCGGGGGAAAGAAGAGGGACAGGCGGGGACGGGATACCCCCCTTCTTCCCCCGCACTGCTCGGAGGATCGCCCCTTCCGAAGGGGGGAAACCGCCTACAGCATCCCTAAGGGAAGCGCGGAAAGATGGATGCGCCGGTAAAAAAGGTCACATGGCAGGATTTCCCTCCCTCCCCCTCCTTTTTTTTTTTTTATTATTATTTTTTTCTTCTTGAACAAGTACTTCCGCAATGAATTTCAGGGGCATTGGCACCATGCTCTTGGGGGAAAAGAGTGATAAATGTTACTAATCAGAAGACATCCTGAATTGGACCTTCTGAGTATAAATACTCCATTGCCAAATGCACTTAACTTGTAGCAAGATGACATAAAGCTGTAGAATAATATACATTTATTTTGCCTCCAGATGTATACTTTAAATCTCAAGAGACAAGGCTTCTCAATTTATTTTTTTTTCTAGACAAAATTAGGAAAAATGAACAATTCTGCAGTTTTGTTTTTTTTTTTCCTATGTGAAGTAGGGTCCTGAAAAGCACCTGATACCAAACACTAGCTTCCATCAGCAGAATATGCTTCCTTTGTATCTCACACCAGAGACAGTTCAGAAGCTGCTGATAGTAAATGCCTTACTCATTAGACACTACCAATCTGCTGCATCTAGGAGATGAGCAAACTAAAAACCATGGTGAGATTACAGAGTCCAGAACATTGCTCTCCTCAACCTGACTGCTCAATCTGCAATAAAGGTGACTACTTCAGGTGAACCTGATAACCCACTCCCACGTGCAATTTCTATATACCAGGTATATCCCACCACTAGTATCCTGAAGATGTGAATCTAGTATGACCTGAGCTACATCCCCATAACAAGTACATTTGATTTTAAGGGAAATTTTGACTACTGTTAGGCAAGGGAATGGATTTAAGACACTGAAAGAGGCAAGGTAATAGACAAATCTTATAAATCAAAAGGGAAGAAACAAAGAGCCAGCTTCCAGCCCCACACTGTTCACATGAGTGGGCACAAGGGCAGCCCCATGCCTTCCCCAGAGACTACTCCCAGCTAGACTCACAAACCAAACTAATCTTTTAAGAAGGTACAATGAGAGGCTTCTTACAAATCCGAGCTGATAGTAGTCAGTGTGTTACTGATGGTAGAGCCTACATTTTGGGGAATTTAATTTAATTGTAATTCTTTGAAAAGTTGGAGAATGTGCTTAGAATTGATAATCAGAATGCAGTCAATGGGATGAGATAAATACATTATGACTGGATTTATTTCTCTCCGAGATACATGTCTAAGGTAAGAGTGCTGGAATACTCTCTCATGCACTAGGGTTTTAACCTATGGCTCGCTGACACACAGGTATTCTCACCTGAGTTGCTGTACAGTTCCTCACAGCTAGATCTTACAATATTTCAAGGTAAAGAATCCAGTATTGGGTACCTCAGGCATTACTTTTTTAAAATTTACATGCACTAGACACTCTTTTAGATTTTTTTTTTTAATTTTGCCTTTGAATCAAAATGTCATTTTTTCAGTTACCAGACAGACCACTACTCCGTTTCAATTCTCCTGTTCAACTAATTAATATCAAACTGGACTTCTGAGTTTGTTTTGTTACCTGTTTAAATGTCTAGAAAGGCACTGAAAGGTGTCTATCTCCTAACCCAATAAAGAAAAAAGGACCAGTGAGAACATTGTTCCCTACTTCACACCTTTTCAGTGGCAGAACAGCTGCAATCATACTCGAGTGTTTCTTCTTCCTTTAATCCCGTCATCAGTATTGCTATGAAATACCACCAGTATGGCCGTGTTTCCCACCGTTCAGCGGCAGGGGGGAGCGCTGGTGGCTGGGCTCCCCCCGCCCCGCAGGCAGCTGTTCTCACTACTGACCACACGAGGCCTCCCTTTTCCAAAAATACGATGCAAAGTACCTTCTTTGGGTACCTTCTTAGGCTGAGAGAGCTGGGACTCTTTAGCCTGGAGAAGAGAAGGCTGAGGGGAGACCTTATTATTGCTTACAAATATCTAAAGGGTGGGTTGAAGGAGGATGGAGCCACACTCTTCTCGGTGGTTCCCAGTGACAGGACGAGGGGCAATGGGAGCAAGTTGGAACATAGGAAGTTCCGTTCCAATACACGGAAAAACTTCTTTAGTGAGGGTGACAGAGCACTGGCACAGGCTGCCCAGGGAGGTTGTGGAGTCCCCTTCTCTGGAGATTTTCAAAACCCGCCTGGATGCAGTCCTGAGTAATGTGCTCTGGGCAATCCTGCTTTAGCAGGGGAGTTGGACTAGATGATCTCTAGAGGTCCCTTCCAACTCTGAAAATTCTGTGATTCTCCCTCCGGAGATGCTGAAGCAGAAAAGGGGCCGATGCCTTTTTCTTCAGGATGAGCACCTATCCATCCACCCACATTTGCTCCCAAGCCCCTCTACCTCCTCGTACACAAAAAAAAGCAAACAAAAGGCCCAGGTTATGAAAAAGCTCACAGCATCCTGGAAAACCTTCTTCCACCCTCATTTACAAAAAGTTGTACCCAATTTAAATGAACATTAGTCTCTGTAAAGATACTTTTTAATGCATAGATGTCACAAATACAAAAGCAGCACAAGGCACAAAGCCACACAACTGCAAATCTGACCACTAGCACTGATATTCTTGCCCTGTTTCTCTACACGGCATCTCTCTTGGGCCTTTTTTAGCATCCTGTACATGTTTACAAAAAAATATGTGTATGTCCCTTTACAAGTTTTTTTTAATGCACATATTTTTACATCATGGAAAGAAAATATAATCTACAGGTATTACTAATAGATAAGCAGTACCAAAATCGACTTAATGAGCTGATGTATAAACTCAGTCAAAGATCTGAAAAACAGTATTCCAGTTGTCTTCTTCCTTACTTCACCACTCACTACATGGTACTGTCAGGAAACATATAGGCCAGATGTGTCATAAAAGTTACTGTTGCCAGTGAAAAATGATAATTTCTTTCTTATGAGATCAATTTTTTTATGCACATTAAAAACCAAGTTTGATTAGATTACAAGAGGAACATAAATCTTTTGCTTTTTTCTATGCAGCTAGAGCCATTATAGCTGAAAATTAGCTGGGTTCTGTATATGCATCATTAACAGATGCATTGGTTCAGTTCCAAGTGCAGAACTGGCCTAACTGACAGTGGTGCAGGGGGGAAAGTAAGATGGGTTCTATTCTAGACCTTCTGTTATCAATAGTTATTGGCTAAATTCCAGTTGCAGACGCTGCACTACTGTGATGACGAGTCAAAAAAAACCCCACAGCATTGAATTCAGATGCACAGGTGAGATTTAATACTGACACAAGGACTGCCTTTAATATGACTGATGAACTAGATATGCAACCCTTCAGAAACAGCGAGAGCAAAGTTACATCTTGACAGTCACAGTTGAGACTATCTGTGGCCTAATTTAACTGTGTGTAAAATCAGGGAGGGATGCCAACCTCAGTAATTCTAGATAGCTGATGCATATTCTCAAGAAATATAATTACTGAGTTACCATTTTATATCCAACAAAATCCACCTATTAATAGAACTTATGTAGAACTTTCAGAGTTACTTAACATATCATACTAGGTTTTCTTCAGGGATTTCACCTTAAAATTCTGCCTAAATTTTCCCTAAATATCATAGTCCAACCTGTTCCATGCAGAAGGAGTTTCATATGTCAATACTTCAGAAATACTGCTTAATAATTAATTTTTCTATATAAAATTATTCATAGAAGTTTTATAGTAAGCCTATTTCAAAATAGTTAGTAGTGATTGCATACATTTCTAGTTCTTGATATACAACAAAACTATTCATTGTTCTAATGCTATAAAAAAACCTCAACAGTTTCGATGATTGGAATAACTTTTCCTGAAATATCAGGCTTTTTAATCAAGCTCAGAAATATATTTAATATATTTACATAAGGTGCAAAAAGAGCAATTTCTTAGATATAAACCTGAAAATCTAGGCATTATCAATACAGCTTTATCCAGTCTATCAGTCCTCAAGCTTTTCTACAAATGGCATCTTCAGATTATAAAATCCAAGATATCAGCCAAATTCAAAAGTTCTAAACCGTGTTTTTATGTATTTGCCCATATTTGTTGTCCCTGGGCATACGTGTAATATGCCTGCTAAGGAACTTGATCGTTACTGAGCTATTAGGAACAATTCTGTATTGTCACTTCACATGCTTATTTTCCCTCATATTATCTTAGATGTGTAACTCACCCGAGTAAAAAGTCCATAAAAAAGTTCTCCTGTGCTATGTATGTCTGTGCACAATATCCAGGTGTTGATTTTTATACTGGTTTTAATCTAACAGTGATGACATTTGTTGAGCAAAGATTGCCATAATGGTACATGTTTGCACAGCACTGTCTAGTACATTGGGGTTTGGCTGCCCGTTAAAATTCACCCATTACCACAGCACAAACAATGAATGTAAAAAATAGTATCTTCCAGCTATTGCCTGTGGCCAAAACCAGAGCATGCAACTTGGAGCTAGTAAAATAGATTATTTAGATGCTGAAACAAAGTCCACCAAAGTTAGCGGGGTGATTTGTACTGACTTCAATGGGTTAGATACCAGGTCTTAGGCCAGTTCAAATTCTGCTACAATCACACTGCAAAATATAAAGATCCAGCAACTGGGATGACAACCAAGCACAGAAAGGCTTAAAAAAATCTAAGGGGTTAAATACAATTTTGTAGAATGTCCTTTGAAGTCTCATGCATTATTTTCTTTGACTGGAAAATAATTTTAAAAGATCTTTCCTGAAAAATTATAGAAATCAGATTCTTTCTATCCCTGAAATAACCCAAAAGTTTAACCATTTTCAAATTTTTCTAAAAATCTTAGTTACACTTTTTATTGA